GCTGCTATGAACATAGTGGAACAGATGCCCTGTTGTATGAATGTGCATCTTTTGCGTATATGCCTAAGAGTGGAATTCCTGGATCTTGTGGTAGACTGATTCCCATTTTCCTGAGGAACTGCCATACTGATTCCAAAGTGGCTGTATGAATTTTCATTCCCACCAGCAATGGAGGAGTGTTCCCCTTTCACCACATCCTCTCCAACATAAACTGTCATTTGTGTTTTTGATTTTAGCCATTCTGACAGGAGCAAGATGGTATGTCAGAGTTGTTTTGATATATATTTCCCTGATGACTAAGGATGTTGTACACTTTCTTAAGTGTCTTTTAGCCATTTTAGATTCCTCTATTGAGAATTTTCTATTTAGTTCTATACCCTACTTTTTAATTGGGTCCTTTGGTGTTTTGGAGACCTGCTTCTTGAGTTCTTTGTAAATTTTGGAGATCAGTCCTCTGCCGGATGTGAGGTTAGTGAATATCTTTTCCCAACCTGTGGGGTGCCTTTTTATCTTGCTGACTGTGTGCTTTGCCTTACAGAAGCTTCTCAGTTTCAGGAGGTCCTATTTATTGTTGATCTCAGTGTCTGTGCAACTGGTGTTATGTTCAGTAGTGATCTCCTGTACTAGTTCTGAACTTTGACTTTTGAACAATGTTAGAATTGCTAAGACTCTGACAGTATTCCCCTGGTAGTATGATCACATAACTAGAAAACCTGAGTTGTTGATGAAAATGACCAGAATGAGTATGAGAACACCAATTCTCTAAAATTTTATACATAAAACACAATTCTAGTTAGAATCCCTAATGGGATATAATGTAATAAAAATTGTCCTAAGCTTATGAGGAATAGTAACTTTCTATGTAGAAGATGGTATAAAGTTTAGAGAAAAAACTTGACTAGGCATTTGCTGGAGCCTTCTGGCAACAGGTAATAGCATTATCTTACCATTTAAAGAGACAGAGGACTGAAGAGATGGACGGTCAGTAAAGTGAGAGCATTTCAAGCATGATGGCTTGAGATCAGCTTCCAAGAAATGATATTAAAAAGCTGGGTATGACAGCGTGGTGTAACTGTAACCAGTGCCGGGACAGCTGTGTGGTGTAACTGTAACCAGTGCCAGGACAGCTGGGTGGTGTAACTGTAACCAGTGCCTGGACAGCTGTGTGGTGTAACTGTAACCAGTGCTGGACAGCTGTGTGGTGTAACTGTAGCCAGTGCCTGGACAGCTGTGTGGTGTAACTGTAACCAGTGCCTGGACAGCTGTGTGGTGTAGCTGTAACCAGTGCTGGACAGCTGGGTGGTGTAGCTGTAACCAGTGCCTGGACAGCTGTGTGGTATAGCTGTAACCAGTGCTGGACAGCTGTGTGGTGTAACTGTAACCAGTGCTGGACAGCTGTGTGGTGGAACTATAACCAGTGCTGGACAGCTGCGTGGTGTAGCTGTAACCAGTGCTGGACAGCTGCGTGGTGTAGCTGTAACCAGTGCTGGACAGCTGCGTGGTGGAACTGTAACCAGTGCTGGACAGCTGTGTGGTATAGCTGTAACCAGTGCTGGACAGCTGTGTGGTGGAACTGTAGCCAGTGCTGGACAGCTGTGTGGTGTAGCTGTAACCAGTGCTGGGAAGCATATACAGAGGATTCCAGGGTGCTGAAGGTCAGGTAGAAGACAGAAGCTCCAGGTTTAGTGAAAGACCCAGTCTCAGAAAAGGAAAAAAAAAAGAGGGTGGGGACTGAAGGTGGCTTAATGGTTAAGAGCTTTGGCTGCCCTCCCAGAGGACTGGACTTTGATTCTTGGTGCCTGTGCTATCTGTAACTCCATTTGCAGAGGATTTGATACGTTCTTCTGACATTAGTGGGCACCAAGAATGCGTGCACATGTATACAGACAAAACATTCATAGACATAAATTAAAATAAGTAACTCTAAAAATAATTCAACATTAAAAAAAATAAGACGGCAATCAATTGAGGAATACTCCCAACTTTGATCTCTGATCTCCACAAATGTATACATACCCCCACATAAAAGTTTTAAGTGGAAAAATAACACATACCAAACATATTTAAAAGTAAGAGCAGCGGAAAAAAACACTACTTGTGAGAATCAGTTAATAAGTCATTCTACTAAAATTAACACTAATGGCACATAAAATGAATTATTGCAACAGAATAGAAAATGGAGTACTAGACACTAACACATGGGAAATTTGAACATTTGGAGGTTTTAAATGATGCTTTAGTTACTGCATAAACTAATACAGTGGGGAAAGGGCGAAACTGGGTCACTGAATCTCAAATCACAAAAAATATATTAGATTAAAGGACCCCAAAAAACCACGCATACTATGTAATGTTTAAACCGAAACTAACCAGAAATGATTTTAAAGAAATCACCATTTGGCTATATCAAAATACAAACCTATGATATTGTGATGCCATAAAAATCCAATAAAAATGTACTTTAGGAAAAATGAATATGTAAAACACTTAACATTTGTGCTATTCAAACTGCTCCTTACAATTACTAAGAGGAGGCTGGGAGTGGTGGCACTCGTTTTAATCCCAGCACTCAGGAAGCAGAGGCAGGCAGAGCTCTGTGAATTCCAGACCAGCCAGGGTCACACGGTGAATCCTTGTCTTAAAAACAAACAAAATGCACGGGAGGAGCTGGGATGTCTGCACACATCTGGAATCCCGGCACCCAGGTCAGCCTAACTCCAACAAAACAAAACTGCTACCAACAGAACCTTCCATACATCAGCTTTAAATAGGCAACCAAAGGACAAAAGAAAAACAGATGATACTGTTAAATATTACAGTTTTGGGGGCTGGCAAATTGGCTCAGTGGGTAGAGGCACCTGCTATCAGGCCAGATTTCTTGAGTTTGAGCCCCAGGACCCACACGGCAGAAGTGCAGAACCAGCTCTAGCAAGGTGACCTCTGACCTCCACATGTGCGCGGTGGAACACAAATGCAATGCCCCTCCCCCATACGCACATGTGAAAATTACAATCTCAAATTAAACTTTACGTTTTCTGACTTCATAGTGCTACTGAATGCATGACTCCTTTTTACTTCAACATTCATCCCTCTCTAGACTCCCATTAGTATGTGTTCATTCTATCATAACGCACGCACTGACTGTCTCTGGGGTCACTCTTCCTAGAGTATCACCTGTTTTCCTCTTATTGATTCTTCGTGGATTTCACACCCTGCATTCTGGTTAAAATGCACGTTTATAGTTAACCTGGATAAGCAATTTTCAACACTGTCAGGTAGAGACATGTATTCCTTAGACTTATCCCCAAAACTCTAAAGTTCTGGATTCATGTTTAAAAAGAAAAGAAAAAAAGCTTTAGAGTACTGGGTTTTTGCAATGATGTCTTAGTTATGACATCAAACTAATGAGCAACAAAAGCTAAGCACAGGAAGGGGCCCTGCTCAGCTGGAAAAGGTTTTTATCCCAGAGAAAACCATAAATGGGTTTGAAAAGACAATCTATGTCATAGGAAAGTCACGTACATGATTAGCAGTGTATATGTACCACTTACGAGACACCTGTAGAACTCAACGACAACAAAACAAAACTACCTACATCTTAAAAAAAAAAAAATGGACAGAGGACACAAAAAACAATTCCCCGTAGAAGGTACCAAACGATCACCCAAAATGTTAAAAGATGCTGAAGGTGCAAAGACAAGAACCTGGTGGCGTTATGGTGGGAATGTCGAACGATATGAGAAACGGCCGGGGCATTGCCCAAATGACACAGCCATCCTGCCTCTGGGTATGTGTCAGAGATCCCAGAGATACCTGCAGACCCACCTTCTCCACAGCCTCAGACACAATGGGTAAGAGGTGTAAGAGGCCCACATGCCCACGGGAAGATGAAGGAAGAAATAGCCAGGAGTGCTCACAAATGCAACGGACTACTGCATCCAGTCAGGACTGGAAGGAATCCTGACACGTGTGACAGCATACGTGACATCGTGCTAAGAACCCCCCGCCGCTCAACACAAACCCACAATACCGTATCATCTCACCTCTGCGTACAATGTTAGAGAAGTCAAATTCTCGGAAACAAAGCAGACAGGGGGCTGCCTAGAGCTCAGGCCGAGAGGAAATGGGCATCCGGAGGATATAAAATTGCAGTCCTGCAATGTGAAAAAGTTCCACACACGTACTGCGGAAAATGCAGACATACTTTAAAACTCCTGAGCTGGATAATTAAAAAACGTTTGAAATGGGCCGGTTGTGGTGCTGCTCACCGGCAGGATTTGCTGAGGGAGGTGGAGGCAGGAGGATCACGAGCTGGAGACCAGCCTGGGCTACACGTTTAAAAAAAAAAGTTTGAGCCAGGTGGTGGTGGCGCATGTCTTTAATCCCAGCACTTGGAAGGCAGAGGCAGGTGGATCTCTGTGTGTGTGAGGCCAGCCTGGTCGACAGAGCGAGTTCCAGGACAGCCTCCAAAGCCACAGAGAAACCCTGTCTCAAAAAACAAAAGTTTGAAATGGTACATTTAAGGTCATGCATTTATCACAACAAAAAAATATAAAGAATATTACAATTAAGAGTTTTATATTCAACATGAAGTTTTGAAAACCTTATCACTTTCCTCCATAAACTGTTAAAAATTTTAGAAATTAAGCATTAACAATGAAAATAAAATCTGGATTCCTCTTACACAGCAGCATATGCTCCGTTTTCCTTTTGCATCCTAAGCCAACAGTCCCCCAGGGATGATGAAACAGCAAAGTAAATTCCCCTTTCTTGTGCCGAAATCATACTTTGCACTTAAAGGGTCTCTCCATATCCACTTAATCCTGCCTCTTTAAACGCAAGACTGCAAGGGACATCTGCAAACACTGAGCAGAGACACAGTTATCCCCGTTCCTGTTGGGCACATTTGCAAGGTGACACACGACTGTTGGGGTGTCAAGAAGAATGCAGACATTCTGTGCTATGGCTAGTCGCGAACATCGAGAAGGAATTCTCTTTACCTAGGGCTTCCTTCTGCAGGTCATAGCACCGGGCTTGCAAGTTTACTTCATGCTGCTTCGATGCCTCCATCTGCCGAGACCTCAGTATGGCTGCATCCGACAACAATTTGAGATTTTTCATTTCCTCTTCCAGGCATACCTTACTCCTCTGGGAAACCGTCAGACTTTTGTTTAACATATCTATCTCTGTAGAGAAAATTCAAAGTTTATAAACAGAAGGCATTAAATCACAACCCTCTTAAAAACCGATTTTCCTTTAGAAAATTAATGTGTGAAAAGAAGATGACTTTTCTGACAGTGTGACGCCTAGCCGAGACTGGGCTTCAATGCACTAGCCATTCTGGAAGGAGACAAGGAAAAGGACTGGACTGGAGGGTGACACATTTATTCTGGCCTTAAATTACAGTAAATAGTGATACAGACTGCGTTTATATTCTCACATAGATATGAAAAGCGTGATACCTGTGTGTGGAGTGTGCAGGGTTTTGCTGAAATTGTATGACAGAGAAAAGCAAATGTAAATGCGCAGCCTGAGCTGGTTGGCAACATTTCTAAGATCGATATCGGCCCACGTCATTCTAAGTGGTAAGCGTGGAAAGGACCTGACGGATGGAGCATGTGAAACTAGCAGGCTGGTGGTGGAAAGTATTTAACGGTTAACAAATGCATTTTAATGATTCTAATGGTACTCTGTCCCCTAGGGTGAAACCAGAATATATTGTAGTAATTCAACGTCATTACTCTCCTTCCACTTAATTTTCAGATGGCTTCACAGTTCTGCTTGCATTAAATGTGCCTTCTTGAAAAAGGCACAGAGCACGTCATCAATCATAATAATTATCGAGTTTTCCCCTTCACCGGTGTTTCCAGCACTGTCAACATAAGCCACTACTACTTAGGTAGCAAAACACACTGTGAGAAGAATACTTTGTAATTTGTACAACTCAGCTAATTGTATTAATGAGGGCGTGGACCATGAGAAACTCTGGACGGTTTTCTGGGAAGATTCCCTGGCGCCGCCTTCTTTAGCTAGCCCCTGCTATGTTGTTGTGTGGTGGCTTCAGGTGTTGAGTGGGTTGGTTTGTCGCTCTGCCATGTCTACACACGAAGGAAAGATCAAGGGAGAGATCCACAGGGCAGATCAGGGAGCAGGCAATTCGGCCAGCAGCTGACGACAGCAGGGCACAGGAAAGGGGATTTCTGAAAGGGGGAGGGGGTGCACGGAGCACAACCAAGAATGTGATCCAGCCAGGCTGATGAGCACACCCTCAATCCCAGCACTTGAGAGGACACGGGAGGTGCACGTGTGTGCATTCCAGAGCACCCTGGTCTGCACAGCGGGTTCCAAGTCAACGGGACGGACATAGTGAGATTAGAGAATGAGAGGGAGGGGAAGGGAGAGAAAGAACAAAAGTGAGAGGGAAAGAGAGAGAGGAGAGAGAGAGAGAGAGAGAGAGAGAGAGAGAGAGAGAGAGAGAGAGAGAGAGAGAGAGAGAGAGAGAGAGAGAGCAAGAATGAGAGGCACAGGGTGCTCAAGAATGTGAGAGCGAGCAGGAGACTATGTTGCAAAGAAAGGAAAGCAAAGGCTCTTCACCTGGGTAAAAATCATGTCTGGGAGGGGAAAAAAACAAAAACGTGGCATTAACCACTGACCTGGTAACTTTTCTCTTTTTTAAGTTCCTTTTCAGCTTGCAAATGGAGAACCTAAAGAAACTAATGGTGGAGACCAAATGCATGTTTCTACTGTGGTCCAATAGTTACATTATACGGCATTTTGCCCACTGAGAACAGTGGCTGTGCTTCTAAAACAGTGTGACTCTGAGCCTGTTTCTGTGAGAGAGATGGCCAGCACACAAACATAAAGCTATACGAAACAGGCAGCTTAGCAGAGTGAGACAAAGAGAAATGCTTCCTGGGTAATTTTACAGCTGCAAAGTCTGCGTCTAGTGTCTGAATAAACTGTCCCATACTGAAACACCTGCCCGTGTCTAAGTCAGAATGACACTGCAGAGTGGGACACACATGCTGTCACCTATTTATCATTTGCCAAAGCAACTCTGCTTGGGTTTTGCTGGCTGATTCTGTTAGTGAACACTCTCGTCTCTAAAGTAACTAATGTCAATGTGACTTTCTATCTGACATTAGGAGGCTGAATCTGTAACACAAGTTGATTTGTGAGATATAGTCTGTTTCCTTGTCCTCGTGGAAAAGTACAGCAAGATTTCCCAACTAACAGGGACTAGAGCATTTCCAACATAGTGTCAGGAAATTAAACTCACTGAAGGTGAATTAACTCGAGTACAGGGAGCCATGGTGTTAACGTACAATTCTATATTTTTACCATTATATAATTTCACAATTGTCAGTTATTTGTCCCAATCTGGGCTTCAGAATTACGATCCCCACCAGATCAACCTATACTGGTTTCTGTACCCAACTTTAGCCTTTCTGTTTCAGTACATAATCCCATGCTCACACATCTGGCCTGCCATAGTTCATATGCTAACGGAAGCCTTTCCTGGGTGAGCCTAGATGTTGCACATCAATTTGCACACTTATTTTGCATTGATCACAGGTAAGCATGCAAGCAAGCATTAGAATGTAGGTTAACTTAGACCAGAGATAACAACCTATTATTCCACCGTGCTTTAGAAATAACAGAAGCTGTTACGCATAAGAGCTTCTGAGTAGAATAGAGCTTCTAAATGGTGCCTAACGTGCCAGTATTTGAACAGCCCGAGTAAGTGTTTCCCTCTGCTTCATTTCAGGCATTTTGAGCTAGATGTGCTTTTGATGCCAGACTAGGTTAAACGAGTAAAACACACTCCCCCTGAAAATTTTAGCAGCCTAATCAAATACGCCTCTTTCATTCTTAATTTCATCAGTTTTATCAAAACTGTGAGCACCAACATAACCCAGAGACATAATCCCATGCTCACACATCTGGCCTGCCATAGTTCATATGCTAACCTGTCAAGAGATATGCTGGGTGGGTGGTGGTGATGGTACATGCCTTTAATCCCAGCACTTGGGAGGCAGAGGTTGAGGCTAGCCTGGTCTACAGAGCAAGTTCCAGGACAGCCAGGGGAGAGAAACTCAAAGGGGACTTGCAGCTTGGTGGTGGGATGCTTGCACATGATGTGTGAGGCCCTGGGTCTGATTCTTAGCACTAAACACCAACAAGATTCATTAGCTAAAGCAAGTACTAATCTCACGCAAATTAAGTTGTTTACCTGATCGAGCTTTATTTCTGTTTTTGCAGCTCTGAGTTTAGTCAAGCGAATGTACAATTATACTGTGTCGTTGTGCTATTACAAGACCTCTATACCCTTACTATCAGGGGTCCCAGCATTATACCCACTGTGTGACCATTAATTCACGTGACTTTAATTTTATTACGATAACAGGAAAGGCCTTTAAAAACTATAGTTATTAAATGAAGGAATAAAAAAAGTCACACTGATTCTAAAGCCCTTTTGTTTTGAAAGACTTTACAGAAGGTTACAAATAGATGTATAGAGAGGTTCCATGCCCCTTCACTCTACTCCCCAGAGCTGACCAGAGTGAAGCATGTTAAGAGTAGCCGTGCACAAACCCGTTTGTGTTTGCACGCTTGCTCTATGTAGTGTCAACACAAGCGTGGCGCTCTAGTCTGCTCTGTATTGCTGTGATAAACTCCCTGACAGAAAGCGACATGGAGAGGGTTAGGCTTTATTTCGGACGGCCGCTTACAGTCCAGCCTGAGGGTGACTCGGGGCAGGAACTCAAACACAAATCCGGAGGCCGTAACTGACGCGGAGGCCATGCAGGAGTGCCCTTTACTGGCTTGCTCCTCATTCACCCTGCTTTCTCAAACAACCCAGGACCACTGGCCCAGCAGTGACAGTGCCCACGGGAGGCCGAGCCCTCCCACATCAACCAATGATAAGGAAAATGCCCCCCCCCCAGAGTTGGCTTCAGGCCAGTCTGAGGGTTTCTCTTCCCAGGTGACTCTCCAGCTATGTGAAGATGACAAAAATCTAATCAGGACGTGTAGCTTCATATGGTTGCTACCACAATCAAAATGTGGGATCGTATACTGCCGAGCTCAAACCTTCTGTTTGCAGCCAGCTCTTTCTCTAGCCCACCAGTGCTAGTCCTCGGCAACTGCTCATCTTTGCTTTCGCATACAATGCCATTATGTCAAGGCTGCTGTGTAAACGGAACAACAAATGATTTTGAAACTGAGTCACTTTCTGACTGGATTTAAAGCCCAATCCATGTGACGGGATCCATGCGCGTTATCACGAACAGAGCCTGAGACCCACGGCTGGCTAGGTTACAGACCCCAGGGAGAACCTACAACTGCCATTCTGCTAAACCGGTGTGGTAATAAACTGCTTCTGAAGTTCTACGTGCCATTTGTCAACCCTCGTCCGAGAAGCCTCTTTTTTCGGTAGGTGGTGATTCAGACAGAGACCCGAACTGGCCAAGGTGCAGAGAACAAGAGACTCTGGAGAGCTCAGCTCTAAATGGCACATCCATACCAGACCCTCTCCCAGCGATCATAACAGAAGGGGAAGTTGACAAACTATGAGAGCTAGAGGTACTTGCCGGACACAAACGAGGCCTTTGTACAGACGGACTCACAGTGGCTGTGACTACAAACACCTGATCCCAGCATGAACGGAGAGGGCTCACCATCCTATCTGGGGAGCTACTGAAACTGCCGGTCATTGTGGGAGGGGAGAGTCAGTTTATTTAGAGATTTGGCCCCTGAGAGGCTGGCTGCCCATGCTCCTCCGGTAGATGGTCCCATACCCATGCACACGCAGACAGCACTAAGTGGACCCAGTAGCTTCTTACAAAAGAGCACCTGAGGTTGGGAAAGGAACTGGTGAAGAGGACTGGGGTAGGGTTGAAAGGGAGAGTACATTTGATCACAAGACGCTTTGAGTCATGAAATTCTCAAATGGTTTTTAAAAGGGGGGAAACCCTGGGAAAAGATTCTGAAATTGGCTTTAAAAAAAACTGGGAAATTCTTCTTTGATGCTCATTCACGTTATCCCATGTATTAATAATTTGTTCCTTTTCGTTGCTGGTTCAGATGATAGACAATGGGTATAGAACCGCTTGTCCTTCACCCATGGAAAGGTATCTGGGCTAGTTTCAGCTGTGAGCTGTTGTGAGTGTAACATTATAGACAT